CGGCTCTATTAGAAATTTTGGCGTTATCCGAACACGGGTAACACGGCCCTACGAGAAATTTTTGGTGTCACCCAAATATGGGTGACATGGCTCCATGTCGCCCGAATACGGGTGACGCGATTCTATTGGAAACTTTGCTGTCACCCGAATATGGGTGACGCTGCAGTCAACGTGTTAAAAGGCGGAGATCCGACATTGCCGAGATCCTCCGATCGGTGTACGCTCGACGGAACGCAAAAAGGAAACTAATTTTCCCGTAGACGCTGGCCGTGTTCTCGGCGTGGAACCTACCACGGCAGTAGAAACATTATGGCCACAGGCTGCCAAGCGTATGAAGAACGAGCGAATGATCAATGGAGCAAAGAACACGCGTAGAACGAAGGCGACGATATTCGTGGAAGGTTTCGATATTCGCGAACACGCAGTTTACGTGGCACTAACGAAACGAGAATTCGATGGATTCGCAAACGCGGGGGCGTGGAAAATATTGCGATACTTCGGAATCGTCGATTCGATACCGCGGCAAGCGAGCGTCGAGTGGAAAGCAACCGGAGAAAAAGGAAGGAAAGGTGAAAGAGAGCGGGCAGGAAATGATTAAAATAAGAGGAAAGCGGAAAGGACGAGCGTTTTATCGACTGGCCGCATTTCCTCGTCAAAGCGATTTCTCGTTTCAATTTTCAAACGCGGTCGGTAGAACGACGCCGCGGAACAGTTCGCCCGGGTTCTCCGATTCTAACGAACCTTCGATCCCTTTCGCTCGTCCGACAATTTCGGATCGTTGAAATTGCTTGGCAGAAAATTTCGCTTGCAGGAATTCCACCCAGACGGACAAACGAAAAAGTAAGATAAATAAAAAGCATTAATTAAGAAGGAGAGCGGAATATAGGCCGAGATAAGTTCTCGCGTCGTTTCGAGAAACCAGCTGCGATCTAATTGAAACGATGAATTCGTGGATGTCGGGTCGATATGTTTCTGAAAAAGTCGAAGCAATGGCATGCAACACACGCGACACGACGAAGCGTGAAACGAAGTCTGAAGCACGCGGCTCGTTAGCACGCGTCGACCCTCGTCGTCGAGGTTCGTTACTCTTTACCCTGGAGCCTCCCTAAACACCTGACCCGTTTCGACGTCGTTTCCACGTTAAACGTTCGCCTTCGTGTTTCGACTTGGACGAGCGAACTGGACGCGACCGACGATGAGCGATGATCATTCGAATCAATTTTCTCCGCTGTGTTTCACTGAAATTGACGACGTTGATCGCGGATAGCTGGTTCGCGACCCGCTGCCTACCTTATTTTTCTATTAACCCTTTGCACTCTTATGTCGAGTGTGACTCGACATGAGTTTTCATCTCAGGAGCTCCTTTGTCGAGTCCCACCTCTTTTTGTGAAACGTGCGAAAGAAAAGCAGGATTGGATCCTGGAAATTGTTTCAAGATATATCGTACACTTAAAAATTACAAAATACAACAATAGTGCGAATAAAACTGGTATTTAAGTGAATGTCTTTCTTCCTTTATTTATTTAAATTGTCTTATTTTTTGGTTAAAGTAAATTTCAAATGAAATAATTAAAAGCGTGGGAGCTGCTGGCAACGAAATTGAAATAAAATTCGGAGTGCAAAGGGTTAACAAGCGATCTTACGCAACAACGCTGTATGCGAATTCAGTCGATAAATCATATTTATTTTTAACTCAAATTTACATAAACCGGTAGCCCTGACCTTTCTCGTTTCTTGAAACTCTGCAGCGACGAATTTTAATAAGCTTCGCCCGAAGTTACGTATTTCGTTTCACTTTCTTCCAGACGTCTTACGACTATCGTTTCGGCATAAACGCGCGTACGAATCGCCAGATCTGCCTACGTTTTCCTAAACGTTGTGCGATCGATCGTTCACGGGTTACAGATCGGTGCGTCGGTGATAAACGTGAACGCAAAACACGCAAAACTTTCCCGAGAATGAAAATACTCGTTCCACTATGCCTAACATCCGACGAGTGGCGTCGCGACGCCACGGTCTTACATCCTTCGTTTCGTGCTGTTACATAAATTATATCGACGCTATCGTCGCCATCCCGGCGCTTATACCCACACACATATCTACATATACGTACACATATAGCAGCAGCAAAAATTATACGACCGACTAAACGACCACGCCTTTGTACGCGCCCCCAGGATTAAGGTCGTCGAGGAAGTTCAGAGACAAACAACTCCGAAAATAAATCCAAGCCAGTTCCTCTCACGTCTAATTCGCTCGTCTACTTAAGTTACGCGTGTTCTTCTCGTTCCACGATTCCATTGATCTACTTTGGTCGGATTAACTTGCCCTATTTCCTTCTTTTTCCTATTGGCTGTTATGTTACATTATTGTTACATTATTATTGTAATTACATCGTTGCATTATGTTTGGTAATTTGGTACTTCGCTGTAGACCGTAGTTTGGTCGTGCGATAGATTTCCACGTTAACAGATTAACACTTTACCGACCGATAGCCGATTAATCGGCTTCTCATCGTCGACGCTTACCGATCGACAGCCTATTAATCGGCTTTTTGTCTCCGACGCTTACCGATCAATAGCCTATTAATCGACTTTTCGTTGCCGACAATCTTTCTCATTATTTGAGCAGTAATTTGTTATTTAGTACTAAAGTAGCTTGCTCAGTTGCGTCAGTTGCGTTGCTTTGTAAGCTCCCTCAGTTTTATACCAATTTGAAAAACTTACCGTTCGCGATGAACGAAAAGAATGATATTGGAAAGTCTAAACCGAAACAGAGCCGGCGCCAGGGAGAATTTTCCCTTGAGCTGCCGGTCGGACGTGCGTATGCTGTTGAATCGCTAGCGGTCGGAAAAGTGTTAACCGAACGTGCGTGCGACGCGCGTCGCATACGTTTTAAAAGACGTTGGCGCGCGATATCCATGACGCACGGTTCGTTCTTTTCTACCTACGTCGATCGTTGGATATTCAATATCTCTAATAATTCATGTTTGGAATTCCTTACATGTATTATATCCATTTTAGCTTTGACATATTACAAAATAGTATCTTCAATATACAGGATGGTTGGTAACTGGTGGTACAAGCGGAAAGGGGGTGATTCTACGCGAAAAAAGAAATCGGAAATATAGAATAAAAATTTCTTTTTTTTAATTTTCTTTTTTTCTTCGGCACGCGTACCGAGCACAAATTCAAAGTCGATTTTCTCGAAAACGAAGCCTCAAACGACAAATTTTTATTCTATATTTTCGACTTCTTTTTTCACGTAGAATCACCCCCTTTCCGCTTGTACCACCAGATACCAACCACCCTGTATTTCTATGGGAAGCACCGGTCGTTCGAGTGTAACAAATATTTCGCGAGGAAACTGTCGCGTGGATAAACACGCGCGATCTGCGCTCAATTTTCGACGCCGCCTTCGTTCGAGGGTCAATGAGAAGTCTCTGCCAAATTGTGCGTCGACACATCCACCGATTCGATGCTCTTTTCTCCCGTTGCTACGTACGCTACTTGGCTTAAAAATCTTTCCAATTTGCACAGTTGGAGACGAGCGATATAAAACCTGGAGGCGAACGAATAGCAGGAGGATAGCGGCGACAGCGCGGGAACGCGGATTTGCGAAGGATCCTCTTCCTGCTTCTTCTCGCTTGCGCCAAAAATTCGAAATTCTTCCGTAGATCGCCTCCTTCCCTTGCAAACCTACCAGCTGCGTCTTTCGATGGGAAGAGGGGCGAGATGGGAGACACTTTGCGAACGTCTGTCGCGTGATGCAACGTATACAACGTACGTAGCTGGTATTTGCCAAAAGTACAATAGCCGTGACATTTGACAGGATTTTTTCTAGTTGTCATGGAGCAAGTTCCAGGCTACGAGAACGTTAAAACAGCTAAATCAAAGTGAGAAGAACCGTCCCGTTTGTCGTTCGTATTACCAAAGTTGTTCTTGTTAGAAGGTAACCTTCTCATCTACTTTACGATCCGTAGCGAGAAAGAAAGTTTAAACGATTTTAGATAGAATTAGCGTTTACTCTTGTTCCTTGGAAATTACACGCAATGCATCGTACCGGTTCCACGTGCAATGCACAAGAACAACGGTTTACATTTATAACGAAAACCGGTAGATTGTAGAATGTGGATTCGCGCATGCGACTACAAGGCGATGTACCTGTATGCGTGCTACGTTCGGCAACTCGTCCACCACCTTTTCTTTTTAATCGAAACTGTACGATCGATGACAGCGCGAATCTCAGCTGATCGCCGAGTTTCTCCGATCGAAGGTTCCAAAGGTTCGATCGTTGGACGAACGATCGGAGGAAACACGTGGACGGACGCGAGAAAACGAACGGAGGTTGTTGAACGAACTCGTCGAACCTTGTCAAACAGTAGCAATAATCGAAGAACTATGTTAGCGCTGTCGACAAGACATTTTTTAACCGACGAATAAATGTAAAAAGCCAGCGAATTCGCAGCAGCACTCGCTGTACCAGCAGATCGGCCGCGAGTCAACGCCGATGTTTTCGAGTTTCAACGCTACTTCGGCGATCCTCGCGTTATTCCATCGACTTTAAACCAAGCAGAAGCTTATAAGGAGCGATGAATCTTCGCAAGCAGATTTATTGAATCGAGGTACACCGAGGTGGACCGAACAGGAGAACCACCGGCTCTGTGCTATCATATCGTACGTATACGCCGATCGATCGTTGGCAAGTTAACTCGTGCTGTGTCGTCGGCTCAACTATATCAATTCGATGATTGCGAAACGTTTGCTTTCTTTCATCCGTATGATTGATCCGGATATCCCCGTTGCTCGCGTCGACCGAACGTTAACCATCTTTCTTATCGCAGATTGTTAACCTGTTCGATCGGATCGGACAGAAATCGACGACGCGTATACTCGAAAATCCTGTCGCGATTTAACCGACGCTTTGTTCTTCGCATTACTCGTGCACTTCGTTCAGCGACAATTTCTTATTCTCCGAGATATTCTCGAGTTCGTTTCGTTTCGCTTTTCCGAAGCTTTTCCAAAGCTTTTCCGATCAAGCGTTCCACCGACATGCTACACAGTCGTAGAACGTGAAAATCCAGCGACGTTGATAGCCGACGTACAAGCAACCGTGCGAAGAATAAGAATCGGCAAATTCGTTTTGGATGTTTGCCGGTTACTCGAAATGGATTGTCGAAGCCGCGGCTGTAACAGCGCGTGCATCGGAGAAGTGGCTCGACAAGACGGCGACTTGTTCGTGTACCGGCGAATCATGGACTGGCAATTGGCTCGATTGAGTAATTTTTACATTTCCAAAAGACGTTGTAGGAAAAGGATTTTTGCTTAGCTGAGACTTGTAGATGCTTTCCGTGTAAAGTTCGTGTAGTAAAGCTTCGTCGAGCTACAGTCTCCTCCTTTTAACTTGCCAGTGGTACGAAACGAGTGATACGACGAAACTCGAAAAAAAAGAGGAAGGGGAGAGAGAGAGAGAGAGAGAGAGAGAGAGAGAGGAAAGGAAGAAGCACAAGGAAGCGAGTGGAAAAGAGGAAGTAAAAATACGTGGTAACGCGCGTTGAAATATCTTCTTCGAAGTTTTGCATTCCTCCGCAAGATATATCTACTACTACTACTACTACTTTTCGCGCGTTTATCGTCGCGAAAGCTCGTTTTTATAAATATTTTACGAATTAGTAAATCCGCAGGGAGAAAAAGAGAAAAAGAGAGAGAGAAGAGAAGAGGAGAGTTCTCCGGCTTCTTGAACAGAACATTTCACGTGGATATTGAAAATTGCGATGAACGCGATGGAAACACGGTCGTGTTCGTTCGCGTCGTATGACGCGGACCAGCTGTTAGGATATCGAGTTCGAATTCCATTCGACGGGCAACTTTATCGCGACAATCAAAACGGCTTTATAAGGTTTACAACGTTCTGCCCTTGGTTTGGGAAACGACAAGTTTTTCCGACGAGTTGTATCGAACCAAAGGAAAATCGCTTTTCCAACGTTCGATGATTCGCAAAAATAAGATAAAATACGAGAGAGTTGAACTATCGATCGGTTCCGCTCCCCTCCTCTCTCACTCTCTCTCTCTCTCTCTCTTTTTCTCTCGCTCGCTCGCTCGCTCTCGCTCGTTCGATGACTCGAATGAAAAGAAAATGAATTTCTTCACGCGTACGATTAAAAAGAATTATTCTACTATAGCGTTACTCGATATTTTGAAATGCTGCAAAGTTAAAAGGGCTATTCTAATGCGTGCCACTATACTCGTATCGCTATTATCGCTAGTTATATACTAAACGCTAATCTACTGTTACTCTACTCTACTTACTCAGCAACGTGACAAACTTCTCCGTCTAGAACGCGTACGGTACTCTCCCGTTCGGCGAGCAAACGCGAACGAAAGAAAGAAAGAAAGGAAGACAGAAATAGGAAGAAAGAAAACGGAGAAAGAGAAGAAAGTACGCGGCGGAAAGGAAGAAAGCGAAAAAGAAACGATTCTCGATGGGTACATACTACACGGACACACGTGACATTCACACGAGAACACGAAACACACAGCAGACACGCGTACACGCCGACATACGTCAAGGTCATTGTTTTACGAACTTTCTGTGATAATTATTAACAATCACTAAATACGAGGAAAATCGTTAGTTGCGAGGTGGCAGGGAACGAACGGATATGCTTGTAAATTGTAAATAAACGCGACGGCGGGTTTGCGATAATCGCGACTGCGGTGAGTAGAGAAAGACAGAAAAGGGGGCAGACAGTTACGATCGGATCGGAAGAAACGTTGTTGTTACGCGATAACACGTTATCCGTGTTCCGTGGTTGATCGAGGATCCACGGCTGGTTCGTCGACGATACGGACGGTCGTACGACGAATGGACGACGGAAGCAACCGAGACGAACATCGTGACCTCGATATACATAGCTAGGTTGCTCGGTTACCACGAAAATCTAAGCGCATTGTTATTTTGTATGGTCCCAGGCGTTTTTTCTAAATAACCACGACATCGTAACACACGATAATGATGGTGATTAATAAAAATAATTTGAAGCACACGTGAACACACCACCTTGCTCTCCACCTTTTCTTGTCTTTTCAGCAACGGTTTGGCTACTCGAACGTTTGCCGATTTCCAGCTGCAGTGCGCGCTAGACGCAACCGATGCAACTCCTCCGTGCGTCGCATATCCTCGCTCAATGCTTTTATCCTCAGCTGCACCTCTTGAATGGCCATTTCCGCGATTTTGATCTTCAACCGTTTCTCCTCCGCCTGCAACCAATCGAACCGACAAACGTCTTGTCCCGCTAACGCTGTTTCTGCGCCCAATTTTAACCCTCGGTTAAAATTGCCATCAACGTACTTCGAGCTGTTGCAGAAGCAACCGGTGCTTCAATCGACTACGATAATCCGTGAGAAAAACGTAGCCCTTTCCGAAGCTCTGGTCCCTTCGAGCTGTCGAGTTTCTCGCCCGGACACCACCGACCTCGTTCTCGTCGCTCTCCGTCGCGATCAGGTCGCCGTCCTCCTTCGACGATTTTTCCATTTTCTTATCGCGCGATGAATCGTCGTTCGCGTTGCATTCCAACGAATCGTATACCTCGCTGTCTGCAAAAATATCTCGTTTTCATCGGATCCACAACATCGACGATTCACGCACCGATTCCCCTTCTCTCTGTCTTACTTGCATTCGTTTCCTTCGAACGCGTTCGGTCGTTTTTACTTTCCGCTAAACTGTGATGGTAACCGAATGGCATCGCGCGTGCACCATCGTTCGTGGCGCGCGTTTTTCTCGAATTCAACCAGTCGCCTTGCTGCGCCTGCTGTTCGTTCCACACAGCGTCCGCTAAAATGCAAAAAACGTTGGACGCGTTGACCGTTGTTTCCAAGTAACGAACAACAATCTTTTTGCTTTTTACCTGTCCGCCTGGAAGACAAAGACGTCTGCACCGTGCCGTCGATCGCGTTTGTGGGAAAGTACGAGTTGTCGTTCTCGGGATAAATCACCGACACGGTGACGCTGTTGTTGGAAATACGCGCGTTGGACACAACGATCCGATTCATAGTTTTGCACTCTGTCGCGTTACTCGATAACAACGACGACGATGACGACGACGACGATGACGACAACGACGACGATGTCGATACCACCAGACGATCCTCGTTCGCAAGGATCTCCTTTCTCTCCTCCAAATTGATGTCCTCTTTAAGGCTTACATTCTCCAATGCGTTCGTGCCTTCCGCCTTGGAATCGTCAGACGCTTGGTCGTCGTTCCGCTCCACTTTGACTCGCGACAGATCTTAAAATGGCCAACCGTTTATTTGTCCATCGTTTCCTCGACGAGCTTCGATCGCCGTTTTAAACAACTCGAACGAAAGACTATGCAACTGCAAGGACTTTGCACGGGCCACGATATTAGACGGTTTACGCGAGCGAACGATAAACGGGCAGATGGATAACTACCGAGGCAAGAGGTAAAAATATGAGAAGAATACCAATAAAAGCATCCAGGTTGTTGGAATGGTGAGCGGTGGCTGCGTTGTCTTCGTATTTGTCACGAAACCGGCCACCTGATTTCGTCGGCGACCTCTGCAAATGATCGGCCAGCGATCGAACAACGTCAGGAATTTGCGAAAACTTAGCCGGCGACCGATTCTCTACGAAAACTTGGTATCTATTCCACTCGAGGCACTCGCTCGTCTCCGATTCTATGCACTTCTTATTTTCCTACAATGTGTCCATTATATGTTAGAGCTGTTTCAGGAGGAGGAGAAGGTACGCGAAGCTACGGAAGAAGGTGAACGCGTAAGTGCGAGGTTTGGCGCGAACCTTCGATCTCGTTGAAATGTCGAACGATGGGATTTAGATAGCGAGCACGTTTTAACGCGAATTCGATGGATAAAGGGAAAACCTGAAGAGAATACCTTGCCAAACGCCATAGCCTTCTTGCAGTGATACTTGTAGTTTTGCCAATATTTCTTCAATTGAGCGGACGTTTTGCGAGTAAAACCGGCCTTCTTAAACTCGTCCTCGATGGTCGTCCAAATCTTTTTACGGGCCAAGGTAGAAGCGCTCTTGTCCAACAGAGGCGCGTACTGCTTCATTATAGCCAATAGATGAACTCGTTCTTCCTTGTCGAATTGATTCTTCTTTCTGTCGGCTTCCGACAAATTGCGCGGCATTCTCGGCTAGCAACTGTATGAGAAACCGATACGGTGCGGCGTCGATCGATCGCGATGTATCGTTGGCCGGGGCGCGGGGGGCTCGCCGATTGGATCGCTGTTGCTCGAGCAATCGAGAACGAACGCTTAAAGACGTAAGAACGTAGGATCGCAAGAACGCGTACGATCGTAAGAAAGCGTTTAGAGAAACGCAGACTATCTTGGCAGAAGTGCGATCGCTTTTGTTTCGACAAAACAGATCGCCGCGATTCGTCGTTCTTTTCGCGGTGCGTACAGTCCTTAGTAGTTTTGCACGTTGTTTTCTCCGCTTGCTCGCCGCGAGAAACATCGCACTCTCGGTTCCTACTCTGCGCTGTCCTCTTCTCCATTCCACCTTCTTTCACCTTTATTTCGCCGCAATTCATTTTAATTAATTTCAAATTCCACGCAACCGCGCCCTTTTAATGTAACATCGATCGTAGCGAAAATCACGCGAAATTCTTCCATCGATGGAACGGACGTACTCACGCGACGTTAGGCTTCGAATAAATTTTTGATAGCGAACTGACGGCGATTGGACGCGTCACATTTTCCACGCGATGCGATGACCTTCGTTGCGATTGCAAGTCTCCTATTGTCTCAACTTACTTGTATTATTTTATTATATTATTATTATTATTATTATGATACAGCTTCTAATTAATTTTTATCGCGTTAGAAATATCGTGCAGGATGGTCGGTCTGAAGGAAGAAGAAATAAAATATCGCGCGTGGCACTGGTTGCGCTTCTTCTCCTACGTGTACAAACCGCGGACGTACCTACAGATACATATGGATACATACGTGTACAGATTCTTATTCGGTATATACATTCGTAATGCACGTGTAAACCATTTAACTTTCTATCGTTTAAATTTTGTCGCGCTTGTTTCGCGATTAGCCGTCGGCTATACTTGCGCAATATTTACGAGCGGCAACCCGCGCCAGCCGAGTTTGCGCAATTTACGCAAACCATCCGTGTCGAGATGGAGAACAAGATTCGCTTTGTTTACACGAAACTAAGCAAATATTTCAGTTCGCGGATTAAGACCTCGACAAGTTTTCGTCGATGGGAAATTAAGCGCCCCGTCGACCCGAGAAGGAAACAAATTGCAAGCGCGCGTTCGCTATCGCCACTAATTGTACGAATTTCCAAGTCAACGATCCAACCGACTTCTCCTCGAGACGGCGCGTGTTCGCGCACGGGAACATTTCACTTTTACGCGTGGAGAGAAACGCTCGCGACGAGTGGTCAGTGATAGTAGGTAGCAGGCCTTTCTTTCAAATATTTACTTATGACAGGGAACGAGATCTCGTATCCGTATCCGTGGATGCAGTCGATAACTATGGCCTTTGGATCTGAGGAAAATTCTCTCTTCTATGGTTTCGGCGTGGCACGAAATCTCGATCGTGAAACCACACGCGACTGTCGAGTAAAATCCCTAAACTCGATAGAAGCGAGGACCGATTCGCTCTCGAGATTACCAGCTGCCAGCCGCAAGATTATGCAAACTCCAGTCAAGTACCGCGAAGAGAAAATACGTAATTAATCAACGAATGTGCTGGTTACAGTTGGAACAACGCAAACGCATTTTACAACCTTTGCTGCTGCACGAACAGCGCCGTCGCTTTCTCACGATGCTTTTCATAACGAAACGCAAACACGCCTGTACACTGGCTGTTCCGCTTGAACAACGTTATGTTACAAATACATGTTACGAGCGAGGCTGTTCTTCTCCGAACACCCTTGCGAGAACAAAGCGAAGTTCGTCTCGCGAGTCGAGTCGAATCGCTGCCTACGTAGCCAGAGGATATTTATTTTTGCTAATTTACGTTGTTTTGGCTAACCGAGTCGTATAAATCATGCGATCGACATTGACGTAGGAAATACGGTTAAAAATATTTTCATTTATATTTGTCAAGGTAAAGACGCGATCAAACAGACACACCAACAACGATATTAATATTAATACAAACGAACAAATTGCCTGATGATCAATGTACATTTCCTTCGAACGTATTCTTCGTGCTTCTCTTTAATTACAACTTAGCAAAGTAACCTTATTTGTCTCTTTCCACGCTACATTTTGCTCGTTTCTTCTTTTGAAATAATAATGAAACATTTGTCAATTTTTATTTTATTCATTTACGTTATATAATATACGTTTTGATGAATGGTAAACGCGATAAACGAAGTAGCGCCGTTTGTTAGTACGTGGAGCCGAAATAAAAAGTCACAGAAGGTGCTGAAGCATGAAACGCATAGATGTGATTTCCGCTTTGACCGATATATCCGCAACTCGTGAACGAGAGATAACTTGCAGTTTCGTATGGGACATGGCTACGCTATCTCGTCGATCTCTTACATACTCTTTTTCTGTCTTTTCTTTCCCCCCCACATTCGCCTCGTATTCGATATGATTCAATTATATCGATAGTCAATGTAGGAGATTCCACCTGTACCGTCAGTCTGGTTCGATGCGACGAATATCACACGAAAGAAAAACAATACTCGTGTTTCAGGATTCATACAAAACGATCGAGTTTTCGCGCTCGAACTTCAAGACGCGCGAAATACACAAAGAAACATAGAAAGCTGCTTGTTCGCCGGACACCGAATACATAAAACAGTCGTTAAACGAAAAGTACTGAAAAATTATGACAAGTAAGATTTCCGGAAGAGAGAGAAGGTTATTGAAATCTGTAGATACGGTTACGGTAAAAGTTATCTGTAAGCGAATCTAATTACGCGTGATTCTAGCTGCGTGTTACTAACTTTGCACCAGATCGCTACAACTCCACTTTTAACCGAGTAGTTTCGCCGCTGAATACCTGTCATCTGTGTTTTACTCGCTACCGCTTTGCGCAATCTCGTTGAACTGTTCGATTTCTGTTTAGAACACTGCGCTACTCGCAACAAATTTCCCAAAAGACCGAGAGTATTCATACATACAAATGCGATATATGTGTGTGCGCGCATGTGTGTGTGTGTGTGCACATACATTTTCAAACGAGCAAATCGAAAGAAGAGAACGTCGAATCAATCGGTTGCAGCTTAATGGAAATAGTTGGTTTATGATATCTTCTGCGAAGGTGGCACCGGTGTTCCCAAGATCGAAGAAACCGACGGTAAGTCCACGAACGTCAATAAGGTAGGATACCACCTTTACCAACTATTGTGTAAACAGCCGCACTGCCTTCCGTCACAGCCTGCTACGTTCAAATCGTTCCAATTGCTAATTATGTACATCTGTGTCCTTCTTGTCCGTTAAATTTTTATTCCTTTCTTATCAATCGTTCCTAGCACTTTTTGCCTCGTAATGTGCGCCCAAAGCGCGTTACACGACTATTCAGGGTACTGCTGCGTCGCAAAACTTTCTCCTTCGTTATCCTTTTGTATTTGCATAAAAAATAGTTCGTTCTGAAACTTGGTCACTCTTTTATGACGAATACCATCCGTTGCTTTAGTCAACAACGAATTTGCATTCTTCGTTGCGTAACGGACAAACTAAAGAAGTATCAAATGGGTCAGTCTGGGTTCGAACATTAAGAGAACCTTTCGCTCGTCTATTCATTCTTACGTTTGCCTCGATGATTCAAACGTTCCAAGGTGCGGAATACATATAATCGTAGTTCTTCTGTGCGTCTAAACCAAATAGCTATATAACTAAGAAACGTCGAACTATATACACTTCCATTTAATCCCAAAATTAATTCGGATTGTAATTAATTACATTGGTAACAGCAACAACAAGAACAATAATAATAAGAAGAAGAAGAATAATAATAGTAGTAAAAAGGAGAAGAAAAAGGGAAATTAACTATGGCGTAAGTCGTAAAAATAACGACAGACCGTAACCGTAGATATAAAGCTGAAATTTAAGTTGAAAAGCAGTAAATCGCATCGCTCTTGTCCGTTGTTTTCATGCACCGCACGACGTAACAGATTTAATAGCCTGAAATTTTCTCATCGATTCGGCTAATACGACTAACACGGCTAATACGGCTAATCCAGCTAATATGGCTAATCCAGCTAATACGGCTCGTAGCTGCCATCAAATTATCGTTGCGCTTAAAATATTCACCGCGCGATCCCCTCGATCCAAATGTCTGTCACTGATCATGCAATTAAACATACCGAAATATATCGAAAAATCGTTGCAGTTTCTCATAAGTCCTCATCCAAAAGGACGATTTTCAGCATTCTGGCTACTTTTCCTTCCACCAAACAGTTATATCGATACCGATTTGTTAATCATCGCTGATATTCGGAAACTTGACTTTCTTCCGCTTCCTTCTCTTTGCTTTGTCTTTAAACGTGTCTTTAAACGAAAATACTCACGTTGAAAGGAGTACGAAATCGATAGACTTTTTAAAAGCTCCCGTTTTCGGTGCTATAATCGTTATCGATAGGTTTGGCGCGCTTCGATTATCGCTTCGCTCTACGGTTGTGACGTAACTCATCTAATAAATCATGAAAGTTTTGAGACGTTAAAATTCTTACGAGCACCGGTAGAAAGCTGGTAATAAAAATAACACGATTACAGCGACCTTTTAAACACGAAAAATCCGGCAAGTACAGTATCTCTCTTTGTCAAACTTTCGCCATTACGCAGCGTATTTTCGTATTTTTTGAAACTGAACGTTTGAAATTTTGACAAATTCTCTTCATTTTCCATAATTTTGCACGCGGTTAGCCTCGATCGTAATTAACAAAAATATTTTCTTTCGTTGGTAATACCGGCGGATGCGGTATGCGTGCATCGGCTGCGACGAAGTTACCGTCTGTTCACGCGGACCATGGTTTATGGATTTGCCCGACATCGAAGAGAGTCGGCGAGATAAACACGCGTAAGTGCGTATACGCGTGCCGCGAACCCAGAAAACGTGACTCTCGCGAGTTGCCGGCGAACGTTTGCCAGGCAACCGTAATTCCTTCGATTCGATTTAACCGGAGTACCAGTGGAAACGAGGCGACCAACATTTTTGCCGCTCTATGTGAGGTTAGCGTCGCGAGAAGTGGCCAATGTAATTGTTCGTTGCGTAATAAATGGGAAACACGTGAGACCGAGCACGACGATAATCGATTATTCGATAACCAATTTTACAATTTTAGAAGGAGAAACTTGAATCGTCGTACGCACTCCAACAAAGACCACTAATCGGCGAGCGTTCCAGAGATAAAAGAAAAACTATTTCGACGAATGTATTGTCTTGGCAACTAAGCGATTGCGGAGTCAAACTGTTAACTATCGGTAGTTCGAGTGTTAAAATATTACGAAAAGAATAGAAAATAATGTCTGAGATAATCTATTAGCTATACACTCTATGACTCTTCTTCTTTGCAAAGTGAAATGGAAATTTATTCTTTACAAAAGACGTATTCATCAAACCTGGAGTTTCTCTATCGCAAGAAAAGTATTCTAATTTAGGACAATAAAGATCAGATAAGTCTCAGCAGACTGCCAAACAGTTTCATAATTTCACTTTGGTGCCGGTTCGCCGGTAAGTAATTACATATATATACTTCCAAAAAAGAAGTTGTTTACTTTCACGATTCGCCTAACAGCTTCTCTTTAGAACTCCACACTTTCCATCGAGCGAGATATCTTTCTTTCTTCGTTCGTGGTTTTATCCATTAGAAGATAACAAAGTATATAGATAAGAGATAATGATATCTGAAAATATTTTCTCCTATAAGTAGAACATGAATAAATACATATAAGCATATAATGAGAAATATTGAATTGGCAATTAAGTGATTGTGGTCAATTGTGGATTTTGTCAATACCATCTAATGACAAAACCCGCAATCACTTAGTTGCCAATCCAACAGAACCGTGGACGATGAAACTCGATTGGAAAGACCGCACGAACCAGCTTCGCACCTCGTTCAGCTGTTAAAACGAATCCTGGAAATTGGAGGAATTTTCGCATAGCGTAATTTCGTTGATGCATTTTTCTGATTCGTCGCTGCTCCTGTTGACGATACAATTACGCTAGGCTACAGCGATGGCACGCTCTTTCTACAAACCGGCTAGGAAAGGGGGTACAATACCTATATAAAGCTTGAATGAAGATGCTCCCAGCTATTCACTCTCACCTTTCTCACAAGCGTGTGCACGACGCAAATCTTCCGCACGAATCACGAGGGAAGATCGGGTTCGTGTTCGTCTCCCGTCAAAAGGATTTCGCCGCGAGGTGAGTGTCTGAACTTTGCTCGCATTTCGTTTCCGTCCATTTCTTTACAATTTCCTATTTTTATCTTTTTTTATTTTTTCTTTTTTTTTTTTCTTTTTCTTTTCTCATCGAAAATTTCAACCCGATCGTCCGCGGTTCGCGCCACCACGAGCAAACTCTGGGGAGAAAGCGTCGTGGTGACAAACACACGGAGCATCGTCCGCGATATTCGCAAACTCCTCTCGATAGGAATCGCTCGAGTCGATCGATGTTTAGAACGAAGACCAGCGAATGCAGCGACGTTTACGAGCACGCGTTGCATTTTCACACGGTAGAAAACGCATGGAACTTGGAAGGAGAGATACAAATTCATTGCACCGCGAAGAAGAAAGCCACGTTTCGTGTGCGGAATGACCGATGTTGCCCGTGACTATAGTCTACACCGAGCGAGACTATTTACGTTAAAACTTGCACGCAACTTTAAACGAAACGCGAGTATATCGATTCGCTTTTTCTTCCTTTTAACGGCTATGTCGTTCGTACAAATTCGACGTCGATGTAACGAAAAACGGTGGGAAAGTTACAAGTCGCAGCACGAGGAATTCGCAAAGGCTGAGATCGAATTCGGTTCGATACTACGCGGCCTCCACGTTCGCCACGCATGGAGCTGTTACCTTAGTTACGGTTTAGTTGCTTTATTTTGCAAAAGGGAGTTCGTGACGCGTGCACGCGATATAAACATACCTTTGAGAATGTGCAAAATTCAGGTTCCACCAAGACCGATATTCACCGAACGAAAGAAAGCGGTGTCGATAACGATAAGCAAACGCGAGGATCTGACAGACGAGCGAACGCGAGAACGCGGAGCGAGAACGAGAGTGAGAGTAAGAGCGAGAGCGAAAGCGTGAGCGAGAGACAAAACGAAGACGGTTGATTTTGGTAGCCGCATCTCGAAGAAAGCGCGCTGTATGCATACTTACGCTATACATCGGCGATGTGTCCGCGACTCCACGATAATCGTTAGATCAGTGGTACTCAGGCTTTTCCTCCTTCGTCGACCCTTGGCATCTCTCGTTCGAATCCAGGTCGAAGGTAACAAAACACACGTGAAAAAATTCCTCCGCGCGTTCTTTACCCAATAAAATGACGCAACTTCATTGGCTGAAGAAAGAACTCGAAGCGTAGATGCTGCAATCTTCGTTTAACGTTTCTCGTCGCCGGGAGCGAGTCCCAAGTCCTAAGTGTCCGCACCTATAGAGAAAGTCATATATCATCGAGAAGAAGCGGAAAGGGAAAGTTTTCCGAAAACGATACGAAGGAGCATGAGATCTTTCGAAATATTTGGGAAATCGAGTGTGTGATTTTGCCGGATCGCAATTGCGTGGATGATCGCCGCCTTCTAACGTGGCCGATGCTTTTGGCGAGTCGAATCCTCTCGGCTTTCTCCGTGACGAAGGTCGCGAGAAGGCCGATTTCTCGGTACTTTTTCCATGTAAAAATCAATGTTCCTCGATATGTGCGATATTCACGGAGAACAATTAAATTCTTCGCGTATAATCCGAACGTGTTTTCTGTTTTACTAGATTCCGTTATATCATCTTTCGTTGGTTTCACGGTACGTCATCTTTTGCCGGTAAGAACCAACAGAAGGTAATTACCCTAATTAGCCGGCAATATCTCGTTTCAACGATTCAACGATTTGACCATTGTAACACGGCGAACGTGAGACGGTAGAGTTCCCTCTGAAAATCACAGACAATCTTCGAATTGCGAAACACGATTCGAACGTTGTCGCAACTCGGCGAGAAAATTGTTATCGATCGAGAAACCACGGAGCCTATGCTTCCGTAGAACACGAAAACAGTTTCCTTAGTTCCGCTCGACGCCTAACCTATGTTACGCTTTAAACATTTGTCATTTCTAAAGAGACTCGGTCAGATATCTGGAAAATCTTTTTTGCGACATTCGATTAACGCTCAACTTGTCGCAGCGTTTCCGAATTCTATCGAATTACACGATGGCCACACCGCAGCTAGAGACGAATACGCCTTCGCGTACCGGTTTTAGAAAAAGGTTCGAACCGGCTGTTCGACGCGACCTCGTCGTCGATCCGCCTCCGGCTGACATTGCGAAGTAGAAACCACGAGGAACAATTTGCGCGCGCGCATGCACACAAAGACCCGCGCGCATCGCGTTTCACGACTCGTAAGGCAATCGATGTCCTCGTAACCCAGACCTATCGGACGTAACTGCCAGTTTTCACTAGCAGATCTCTCGCAACTCGCAACTACCTCCAAACGCTCTTCTGCTCTCCGCTCTTGTCCCTTCTCGTTAGCATGATTAGCATCCGATAGCGCTATAATAATTTTTTTTCTCTAGATAATCTTCGAAACGTCGTAGTTCGCTTTCACCGCTTGTTTTCGAGGCGCCGATGGTTTCCGCTTAGGCGTGCAAACTAAAGCGTTCGGGTATTTTGAAAAGAAGGCTGCTAGGTTTAACGCAACGAGAAGTTGGAGGATTCGCTTTCGAGGATGATTCGGCGATCTCCGTGCACTGTGCGTCGATCAGCTGTATCGTTAACGCGTAAAAAACGGTCGTTGGGTCGATCTCGGTCGGCGCAGCCTGTGTCTAGCGCGAGGCTTGTTACGAAATGCGGATAATGAACGAGCAACGTTCCGTCATCTTATTAAGCTGGCACATCCAGTCGAAAAGTGGAGGCGCAGAAGCGAAACCACAGCATCTCAAGTGCACGTTACACTTGCTCAATCGCGCTGCCGCAAATGACCACTTTTGCCCCTACCAACTTTGCAAACTCTACAAACCGCTGTTTACAAACCTGACAAATTTCCCTATGATAATCGCGCTACTGCGTTACCAACGTGAACCGCTGCTCGCAATTACCGCGCGCTGCATACCCCGCAGGCTTCTCCTGGTTTCTCGAGCGAGACGAGTTTAGAATTGGACGAATCAGCTTCCGAACGTCAGCTGCGTTGTTCGCGTATCGCTCGTACCGTATATGGCGTCTGAACGATATTGCCAAATTATTTACACACATGCGGAGGATGTGTATGTAAACAGTCGACGCATCGTCATCGATTTTAATCGTTCGCGATAATACGATATTAAGTTTGCACGTTAAAAGAGAAAGGCCGATCAAATATCCCATTACCTTGCTAATAGGTATGACGTGAAAGAATCATCAGGCAAGTGTGTACGAGTTTCGTGACGGGTGATGGCGGTCGTAATTTCCTGAAATATTTTGCCTGGGAAACGTGATACCCAGATTGTCCGAATCCGATAACGAGATCCATTAGCCGAATTCTCCATCATCTTGGATGAAAAAAAAAGAGAATATCAGAAAAACTTTCTCCGATCGTCTTCTTGTTCCTTTTATTTTCAATGTCAGCGGAACGGGACAAAAACTACCCGGGGATCGGGAAAATGATAGAAATTTCGCTGGACAACGTTGTCAGATGTACTTATATCGGAGATATAAGAATACCGGACAATCGCATCTGTGTATCTGTATCGCCATCGCGCTCGTTGTCGATCAGCTAGTCACGAAATCATGCGCCGCTCTGTTCTAATATAATCGCAATCTCATTTGTGCAACACGCTCTTCTTTTAATTTCTATATGAATATTTACAAATTGGGACGTTCCCACACATATCGTTACCATATATTTTCCATTTCTTTCCACTCGGCCGCGATAGCTTTAGCGCGCAATGCTGTACAATTATGCGTTCGATATACAGGGTGTCTCGGTGAACCTGTTACAAAGGGATATCTCTGTAATTATTAATAACACGAAAAAATGATTACGGCGTGACTCGGTTTTTTTATCGTGTTCATATATTTCGAGATTTCGTTATTTTTATAATTTCTTTTTCTTTTGATCGAACCTTATACTTTTAGTTCGATATCATTTCAGAGCTTGAAAAACAAATTCACCGATCGTTTAACTTGCAGTTATTTCGATCGACGTACGTATTTCGAACGTACCGAAATCGTATTAATCTTCGACTGGATTTATTCAAATGCCGGAGACATTATTCCCACACAACAAACGAATTACAGAGAAATAATTTTTGTTCGAAATATGTCAACTACGATAATTTCGGATTAAATGATCGGTATGCTTAACGAAGCCAATGAATTTGTCTTTTTATGATCTAAGACGATATCGAACAAAAATCATAAGGTTCCATTAAAAAAAAAAGAACGATGAAGAAGCGAATCAGACCAGCGTCCCACGGAATCAAATAATTTATCCACCTGTCGTTTCCTCTGTGTTATTTTCCAATATATTGATTATACTATTCACAATCACCAAGACATCGTTTCGTAAGGAAATTACTGAGAAACCTCGTACAATACGGCCGGTTCAAAATCGATCAAGCACGTGTTTTAACGATCGATTCGTAAACACGGTTGGCTCATCGGTTAACGCGTATTACTAATTTCGCGTTATGCGACTAATCGTCGGTACGGTCTGTTGTCTCGACGCATCGTTTAACGAACTTTCAGCGCAATTCCTAACACGTCGTTGAGTCCCCTCCACGCTGTTCCCACGCGGATATTATTTTAATGAATAGGACGCGGGGAAGGCACTGTTTGCACGCGCTACGTCCCTGCGCGTACATACACACCGCGTTCCACCAATGCGGATGAAAATTGAAATAGAAAATCTGATTTCATCGACGAAAATGGAAGGAAGAAACGGCGCGCGTATCGCATTAACGCGACGCCGTACGACGACCACGCGGACTGTGCAAAAGCATCAGCGGCGTGTTCTATCCTGGAGGCTAGCGCGACTTTCACCTTTCACCTCGGTGAAGCACGACGACTCGCCGCGCGCCGGTTCAATTCTCGAACCTTTGCCCGAACGAGAAACGGGGAACGGCGAACAAGGAACGGTGGACAACGTGCGGGTGTTTGTGAGGGAAGAACAGCGCGTCGTGATCGGAACACGTCCGCTATCAGCGTGACGAGCGCACGATCGATCGACCGAGTATGCACGGTACCGTCACGATTCGGTTTCACCGTCGTGCCGCGACGAATCGAATCCGCATTCGAGAGATATCGATGGAAAGCATCCGGGGATGCAGCCAGGTATTCCTCTCGTAACTCGTGAAAAGCGACAGTGTTTCGAATTTTCCTACCGAGCACGAACTTGTACTAACGCGATCAAGTCGATTCGAGTCACGAGGAGAAAACGAAACGTCCCGTTAATCTTAATGATATCGTTTCTTTCGAGATGTCCGGCATACGGAAGCTGTGAACGTCCTCTCTTCGTCACCTTGGCGATCGTAACACGTGCGCGTAATGCGGTTCCTGATTTTCTCACGAAAACGATTCCTATCCGAACCGATTATGCTTACTTTCTCTGCGTCGTTGAATACCGTCCAAAATAAGAAAAAAGAGAAAATCGACCTTTTTCAAACGCCGAAATAGGCAAAGTTACGTAGAATCGCTTGACTCGGCAAAACACTGTGTCAGAGTATTCAGATATACCCGGAGGCGAATGGAACAAAGAAGCTTCTTCTCTTCGTATAAAAGCTTCTCCTTTGCGTGCAAACGACAGCGAATTAGCCACGGGTCGAGTCGTACTCGTGTTCCGACCGAATTTCTCGAATTACGGCACGGATAGGAGATTAGAAGATTGCCGGTTCCTCGTAATCTGATCTGACGAAACGTCGCAAGACCGGCACACGTACGTGAGAAGAGCGAAACAATGGTGGAAACGGCCTTTCTCAGGACCAGAAAACTATTTAACGATTGTACCTTGCGAGATGCTCTCGTTAAGCTTTCTGTCGAAACGATGAATTATGTGGAAACGAGCCGAGATACCGTCGATTCGACCAAACGGCATCAGACAAAATTATCGTTCACGTGACATCGTGTCTGCGAAAGTTCTATGCTTCGCGCGATATTCGCGATAAAATGCTACGTACTGTAAATTAGGGCGGCGCTCGTTAGCCTTTCGCGTCACAAAGGCAAGCGAACCGGATAACAACCGGTTGCGCCCTCCATTGTCTTTACTCGTATGGCAGGAAACGAGTTCGCGGCCTTGGAACGTACACGCGAAAGACATAAGATTTCGTGTTTTCGTTAACGACCTCGTTCGATATTTCTCCGATCGGCGAATAGCTATCGATTATACTTGTTCCCATTGGAATATTTTCACGAACGAGAAGAAACGAGTCGTCAAAGAAATGGTTACAGGTTACAGGTAAAGAGGATGAAGAAGATCGCAGCGTTGCTGACCGTTGCTGGTCTCGTGGCCGTAGCCGTGTGCCAGGAATACATGCCAGGTGGACATGCGTTGTTCGTGAGAACGTCATCATCCGCAGTCGGTAAGAAAGATACAGATCGAATCGTCGAGTCTGCCTCGACTACGATCAAGATCGGGAGGAAAGAAAGCGATAACGTAGAATAACAAGTTTGCGAATGTTTTGATCAAAGTAATCGTTTAAAATCCATTAGCACACTCGAGAATCCAGCGAGCTGCCCCGGTATCGGCCGCAGACGTGATGGCGCAAAATATCCTAGAGTGGATTCAAGGGATCTACCGACAGGGCGCACGTAAACGTACGTTCTCCACAAGGAGCTTACTCTCTTGAGAGGCAAACCCTAGAACACAAAGAATGCAATTTCCAAAGCAATGCGTTCTCCAGTAGTCTTTACCCTTTCACCGATCCTCTTTCGACCTCTTCAGTCTTCTGATACGCCAATCATGCTTTTTACCTCCGCGAGGAATCAACTCTACGATTTTGTTAATCGTCGATGATAATTAGGTCACTTTGCTACGGATACCTTCGACATACATGTGCATGTGTAAAAGTAGAGAGACGCTGAGGAGGTTAAAACTGTGTTTAAGGGCGAACGAAAACGGTGCTGATATTTGGACGAGTCAGTGACCCGGAAGCTCTGAAAAGATACTTGCGAAACTTTCGACGATCGTAGTAAGATCGTTCGGAAGAATAACCGTCATTTTGAAAATGCAATTAACCACATTTTAACGTGGAACCGCACTAATGCACGCTTATTAGCCGTTTCACAGCATATTACCGATAAGAATCACACGGCAAAACTCACATCTAATAGAGGCATTTTAATCGAACTTCCAATATAATAACGAGGAGCACGTAAGCACGTGTAACGACGCATCTAGAATTAGAGAATAGGCGCGTGTTACTAGTACGAGAGACTAAACGCAGATATCGAGGTACGCGGTCCGAACATTCATTCATACAGCGACTCGTACCATTTGAACTTAAAGGTTGTCGTTGAACGTCGAATCGCGACGCTTTTCAAATGCTCTGCGCGACACACCGATGTATCAAGAATTCTCACAGCCGAGATCGTTCGTTTTGCAGCTCGTCAGCAGTCGGATCCTCCAGGATATCTACCGCCGTATAGCACGCAAAGACCACCGGAGAAACCTCGACCTTTCCAAGCGCCCTCGACCAGCCAGCAACCAACCTACACGACTCCTAGTCAGAACCAGGCGACGAATTATCCTTACCAGAGACCGTCACCGAACGTCGATTCGTCATCCGGTCAGTCGACCGTACAATCATCGCCGTTCTCCACCCAAAGATCGACGTATCTTCCACCGAACAACCAATCACCCTACGTACCATCCTCTTACAATCCTCGTCCTACCACGACACCGTCCTATTCGAACGCTGGCTCTTCCGCTTTCCCGCCGTATAGCTCCACTCCTCAGCAACCCTCCGCTTCCGTTGGAATCTCGACCAGTTACGGTTACTCGACACCAGGCTTCACCACCAGTGCACCCGGTAGATTCTCCACGCCATCCGGTTTCTCCACTACTTATGGCTATTCGACTCAAAGGCCGAGTCCTACCTACGTGCCATCCGCGCAAGGATCAGCTTTTAACGATGGATATACCATAACCAACGGTTATCCGACCGCTGGCGCCGGGGCCAATTCCTACGATCAAAGTGGCACGGCTGGATATCCTTCCTCGCCGAGTAACTACCCTTCCTCTACTCCTGGCGGAGCGTTTCCTCCTCAAAATACCGGCAGTGCAGCCAGCGGAACCAATGTCGTGAAACCCCCTGGAACCTCTTCGACCGGAGTTGCTACTGGCCCTGGCGGAGAAGGTGAGCTTCTCTTGTTCGGGTTAGCTTTGGCTGTTGCTTTTTGTTCCTCTCGATGAAACTACAGAGACGAGAGCGAAACGCCGAGAGTCACGGAATAACGTGAGCGTAATCGAATTTCATTCGTTGTCGTAGAATCGAGCGCTTCTGGAACGAGCGAGGGAAACGCGGAAGACGATGACTTGAAACACCCGCCGCATATTCACGCTCTCGATGTCGAGTGTAGCAAGACTATGATGACTATCAACATTGAGTTCAACCGCGTCTTTGACGGAGTCATTTATTCTAAGGTGAGCAACGTATGGTTTATTGTAAACTGTAAACAACGGGATGCCTGATATTCATCGTTATGTACGTTTGCAGGGATTCTATACGAATCCAGATTGCAGGTACGTGGCACAGAATTCCGGACAAACTCGATATTCGTTCACGTTGAATCTAAATTCCTGCGGCACCCAATTCATCAACGATTTCGCGGGGCAAGCTGGCCAAGCATACTTGGAGAACGTACTCGTCTTACAGGTAGATCCGTAGACGCGAAGCTTCCTTATCATCGTTTCGATGACGTTCGTGTCACTTACTTCTCCTTCTATGTTTCTTTCTTCGTTTCGTTCCCTTCAGAACGAACCAGGTATACAAGAAGTTTGGGACACGGTACGCAGAGTTCGTTGCCTCTGGGAAGGAAACATCAATAAAGCCTTGACGGTTAACTTCTCCGTGGACATGTTGAATCAAGAAACAGTAACGTTCAGCGGTGACACAGCGAGCGCTAAGTTGGACATACAAGTGGGAAGGGGACCGTTCGCGCCTACTGCCGATGGCCTCGTCAAGATCGGAGAGACCATGACTTTGGTCGTTTCCGTAGAAGGAGATCCCGCCTTCGATCTTCAGGTACCGACCAGGTTTCGTAATGCGCACGAAAACGCTTTCTGTTTTTATCTTTCTTAATCGTACTGATGGATGTGTATGCTTTAAGGTTCGTGACTGTATCGCTCGCGACGAATCTTCCACCAACACGTTACAACTGACGGACGAAATGGGATGTATATTGAAACCTAAATTATTCGGTGCATTCCAAAAGACGAACGATACGGGAAATACGGGGGCATCGATTATCGCGTACGCGTACTTTCAAGCTTTTAAATTCCCCGATGTGATGGACCTGTTCATCGAATGCAACGTGGAATTGTGCAAGACCGATTGCGAACCATGTTCAAATACCAATCAGGTAATCCCATTAAAACGTAATCGTAATAATTAAACGTAATAATCGGTTATGTATATTCTCGTAACTTACCTATTTCGTTATCAGTTTAAATCAAAACGTTATGCTGCTTGGTCTTTTCAGCAAATCGAACCGGGTAGACGGCGACGATCGATAATGTCGACATCGACAAACACGACATCGAACAGTTCGGTCGTGCCACTCTCGGATCCGATACGCGTCGCTCGTGGCTTCAAAGTAATCATGGTGGAGGACTTGAGCAAAGCTAGCAACCAAGTTTTGGAACAGCTCGAGGAAACTGCCGTTGAGGAAGTTGCAAGAAGCTCAATGAACGTTTGCATGACATACAGTGGCTTTTATACCGCGATCTCGTTTTTCTTGACTACCATTCTCGTCACTACTATCAGTGCAGTTACGCTTTACGTCAAGTTGCAACGAGTATACGGATCGAAAGTCATCTATTCGTAGGAATTTCACTCGGTATCGACAAATGGTCACGGCTGATCGACTGACGTTACGATCACGACTATCCGTTAGCGTTCGTATCTTTCGTTACAAGCTATCGGCTTCCTAACGTGCCTGTCTTTCGTATTAGGTTTCATCTTCATCGCTTGTAATCTAGAATGACAAGCTGCACACAAGAGAGAATCGATGACGCGAAAAACATTTTATTATCGCAGTATAGCATCCTTGCGACATTTCTCGGGGGGTAATAACCACGTATTTTCACTTTATTTATATCGGTTATATCACGTAGTTTCGTTTTAATACTGGTAATGTCAATTTCACGCCATATTTCTCTTGTGCCGAAGTTTCAGATATCCAACTGCCGTACTTCAATAAAACTAAAATTAAGTTTTTTATTTTAAACGCGAAGCGACGGCAAATTTCCAACATAGTATTTGTAAATTGTCAAATATGCCTGTTACTTACAACGGTGTTTTGACGATAAACGCCGTTCGACAATGGTACGCAAATACATAAGTATATATATAACAATAGCGAGAAAATCGTCGTACGCTTATAGTATTTTTTGTTTGTTTTCATGTTTCGCTGAACTGTCGTTTTCCTTCGCATTGTTAGAGATACGACCGATCGTTAACAAGTACAACAAACTTTACGATTAAGAATAACTATACAATATGGCAAGTATAATATATGTATGCAAATCATACGTAGTAACAAATAATTCTCTCACTTTATGTTTACATCTTTATCGTCTGTTCAGATTTTAGTTCTTAACCGACGAGTTATATTCATACTTTATAAATTTGTACAAAATTTCATCAATCATGCGTGTTATGTGTCATATAATTATCGACCGTATGAAATAAAAAATGGAACAACGAAAAATGAAACGCTCTTTAACCACTTCTTTCGTTAAAGGAATTCCCTTAATCGATCAGGTACAAACATATACACAAACAAGATATACATATATACACATATACTGCTATTTTATTTTCGTAAAACTTAATATATACAAATGCTCTCCCCTGATTTTTCTTTCTGCTACTATCTTGCCTACCATGTTCAAATCCATAAATGTACGTAAAATGTTTTCGGGATCGTTCTCTTTAATAACTAACAGATAAAATATTCCAGTGTTCGATAGAATATCAGGAATTTTAGGAAACACTCGTTCCATAACTTTTCTACCATTTGTACCACCTGCCCAAGCTTTGAACAAAATCTGCTCGTTAGAAATTTCATCGTCGCTGGTCACCACATACGGTGGATTAAATATCACGATATCAAAAACGCTATCGCTACGTATGCAGTTTAATAAATCCATCTGTACGATATCTACCTCTACCAAATTTTCGGCAGCAGTTTTCTTCGAAATTTTACATGCATCGATATTGATATCGATCGCAAGATGGTAAGACTGGCAGTGTTTCTTCAATGCCATTGCCAGAGCAGTAATTACAATACCAGATCCACTACCTATCTCTAAACACATCACAGGTTTTGTAGCTTTTAGGACCTCTAAATCAGCTTCTAAGGCATCTATCAAGAGGAAGGAATCCTCTGAAGGTTCATAAACTGATTCCAAATCTTTATCCGATAATCTAACTATCGGTGTATTCATGATACATGGAAAATATATAGAAGAATTTTTGTACAATTTGTTCCTTTCTTAGATATTTCTAAATTAAAGACAAAGCTAAAGAGGGACGTATCACAATTGTTTTACATGTACTATCGTGCCTCATTCATATTCTTTAGAAACGTTAGCCCCTTTTTCTATTTCCACTTGTTCTTCTGTACTTAAAATATTAGAGGCATTACCATATGGAGAGCTACGATCCAGTAAAGCTTTCCTTTTTACTGTATTTTTCTCCACTGCTTGGTGAATTTTATTCAATCGCTCTTGCGTACTTTGTAAAATGTTACTAACAATTGTGATTTTATGTTTAGCGTTAATCAACTTTTTAACATAAGAATCTGTTTCCAGTGGACACTGCAATACTTCGTTGATCCTCTGCAATTCTTCCGTCAACGATTCAATTCGTTGTTTTAATTCTATTTGACATATTCTGTGGAAATCAATGAATTTCAAAATAAGTAAAATGTCAAAAGATCGTACACGTCGATGCAATACTCAAGTATTTCGAAAAGCTTTGGAACATTATATCAATAACATGTCGAATGTTTACATCTATACCGCAATACATATTTAAGAGAAAAACGTTACATACCTTGTGGCACGAATTCTTTCGTCTAATTGATCCACCGTAGGTTTCAAAAGACTCATAAGACCTTCTGTTAGAGCATCTCTCGTTGGATTCTCACAAAAATCGTCTATCTTGTCATCGATGGACGTATTATCGCTCGCTGTATCCACATCCATGTTTTACTTCTTTCTATAATACAATACTTTCTAATCTTTCTACCATTTTTCAGATGGCGCCACCTGCTGCATTAGGTCTCTCATCGATTAGATTCTGCGAGTTTTTCGTCCAGCAACTAACTAGAAATCTAGGGGAAATTTGCAATGCGCTTTCAAATGTTCCCAAATGAGAAATATACGTCTCTCGCTAGGGCTTTCATATTTTATTTATACAGATATGGTCACATTGAGTGGCATCGTACCTTATTACCTTTATCCTGCTCCGAGTATCGAGTTTCGTATCAAATATAGGTTAGAATCGAATCGAATAACACATCGAAAATTTCAACCAAAAGATTTGTTTATCGATGATACAATTTACATAGTTGTATTGCGCAGATTGATGTAAATTTCACATAATATAGTTTTTGTGGAAGATTCGTTTTGACTTGCGCGTTATTTAAATGTTGTTTGTGGAAAAAAACAAACCGTTATTCTATGCATGCAAATGAAAAAATGAATTTATGTATATGCTGCAAGAAATAGATGCTTATCAAGTGTAGTGGTATATACATACCTCCGCCGCAAAGTAATTTTTTACATCATTGTCTATTACATACTTCGTGAAATAGCTGCGATGAAATTCTTAATCGTAACAGACTTTGAATATGATAATGAATATAAATGCGGATAATTAAACGCGTTTATTTGCGATAATATAATACGTATATATCGTGATATATTTAAATTACACAACACACAAATTACAGCGATTTACAAACATTATGAACAAAATTCTAGGAAATCGTGTAGGAAAATGCGTGAAATTTCGTCACAACAGCCTTGAATTTTCTATTTCGGTAAATGAGGTATATCTGTGTTAAGATTAATGTTGGCATAGCAAACGGATTGATCGAAGATCAGACATGGAAGAAGAGTGCCGAAAAAATGAGGTAATGCGGGTTAAAAAGTCGCGAAGCAGATTTAACCCTTTATCTCGAAGAGTGTTAGCATCATTAATAGCATAGATTCGTGAATATTTATATACGTTTGTGAATTTGTTGTTTCTCAAATAGTACTTTCGAATATAAGAGGAAGGCAAAATTGGCTATCGGAAGTAATTGGAAACCGAGACGTGACATTTTTAACTTTTAAACGCAAACATTTATAGTTGTTTCCGTAGCAGAAAATGGTAAATCATAGAATAATTGTCATAATACGTACGTTTTTGCAACTAGTTGTGCGTTAGCCTTTCACATTTCACTTAAGATAGCCGAATAAGAAGAAAGAAAGGAAAGAAGGAAAAAAGAAAAGAATAAAGAGATCAAAAAAACACGACGAGGAACAAAAGGGAAGATATTACATTGCTTCGCGAAAATCTCTTTTTTTCGTTTTTAACTCACGATTAAGGAAAATCGTAGTTTTGTTATCTATCGTATCTACGTATGTATATATTACGCGTACCATTTTTCGCGAATGTAAATAAGATAAAATCGCAGAATCGACGCGAAAGTTACCGGTTCAAATATTTAAATCGCATATTATACAGATAATATTACACTAACTACATACGTATTGGATATGCATCGCTTTTTTACACGTATACACACATAAAAGTGCATAGACCTTTCAGCCGCAAAGAATGCGGCGTGACAGTTTTCGACGATTATACGTATATTTATATTTATATGCATACACATGTGTATACGTACATACTTATACACGTATACAATATACATATACATACATATAATATACACATATACGTAGACGAAACGTACCTAAACGAATTTGTACATAAGGCATCACTATAATAAGTCGACTCTTCTCGCGTAAGTCGTATCGAGAGCATGGTTATGGATCTAGCGATCGTTCGACAAAACCTAGATTGACTCTCCTCGTTGCGGAACGGAGGGGATTCGATGCAAACGAATGCGAGCGACGGAAAATAGCGATAAAAAGATCACCAGTGAACAAACCACTTCTCAACTTAACTCGTTATAGACATATCCTCATTATGTACACAAACAAATAAATTAACGCTTTCTTCGGAGCGGAGAATTTTCTATGCGCATTCTTATCGACGTTCGCGTCCTCTTGCAATCGGCTCCCTCGCTACTGTGGTTAGCTTAGTACAAAATAGATGCCATTATACTGCTGGCAGCAGCCGTTCTCGCAAAAAATTTAGCCTTTCTCACGTCTGATTGCTCCGTGTTCGAACGTTTGCTCGATTTACTCGTTCGCCTCGCACGAACGAAATAGACAGAATTTTAATATCTATCACCGACGAACATTTTAACGATACAGTTGCTCAAAATTACTCACATTCTCGAAAAATTACATTTCTGCTGCAATATCGTCTCGTCGGTTGAACGACGCGCGTTCAGTTGACCTTTGCACGAACATCGGATTTCAAGAAGAAGATATTTTACACGTCAACGAATTCTGTAAATTGTAAATTATACGGCCGAAAGTAGAACGATCTACATAATTATATCGTAGTAAATCGGAACGTGCACGTTAGCGACGGGTGGAATTGCCGAAAACTTTCAACTATAGAACGCAGGCCGAATTAAAATTAGACGATTTTACTCACGAGTCGTCCACACCAATGAACACTACCAATTAAAGATTTACCTTGCATTTCAAGAGAATTTGAGACAGAAATGTTCGCTCCAACGTCGATAGATATACGAATCTGCAAATTACCTGACATTTCGTTTGTTTTTATTACGTCTATGGCGTAGTTCGGGCAACGAACGAAACTTCGCAATGCGACGAAGCTTTCGAAATCTAAAGTCTCAGCGCTAAATGCAATTTATATTTATCGTTAACATTTATTTAAAAACGACTATCTTGAAACAGCAGAAAACACGTAGTAGTACATCGGTAGTGGTCCAGCCACTACGATCGTAACTGCGTGTATGCCTTTCATCGTATCGGGCGAACAAACACGGTAACGTATTCGTAATTACGAGCGGTAAATAAGCTATTATCTCGACGATTATCGTGTATCGAGACAAGCGATTAACATTCGTAAAAAGCAGCGATCGAAACTATCGAAACCCTTCTCGTCGTCTCACGCATCGTTGAAGTCAGCGAAAGATTCAATCAAAGATTCTTCGTTAGCCACGACACTCGTTTGTTTATACGATTACTTTCCAATCACTGTCCACGAAAATGTAACAGAAAGTAACGATGACGATTCGGAATATCGCGAAATCAGTTCAAACGAAAATATAATTAGGAATAAGAGAAACGCGCATAGAGACTCTCCAAGGATTTTCGGCTCAATACTCGAATTCGAGCTGGATTAAAAGAAAGAGTTAAGTTTGCAAATTTCTTCCTGGTAATCTGGGAGAGGCTCGAAGAGATCGGCATAGTTAGGAACGCGTACACTGGAAGAGTCGTTCGACGAAGACGAAGACGAAGACGGAGACGGAGACGGAGATGGAATCTCGGAAGAGCGGTATGGTCACTTGGCGTGCTGCTTCGGAAGATGCCGTTTCATGTGGAGTGCTAGGTGATCGCTTCTGGCGAAGGAACGCTCGCACACGGCACACTTGAAGGGCTTCGCACCGGTGTGCTTTCGATAGTGACGAGTTAATTCGTCGCTTCTGGCGAATCGCCATTCGCACTCTGGCCACTGACACTGGTACGGTTTTTCACCTGGAACAAAAACGGATACAATGCGTATCGATGCTTCGTAACTTTTACTAGAGGCGTAATTTAAGGAATTTTTTGCGTTTGCGTTTGTAACGCGGCACAAAACGACCTTCTATACCGTTGGGCGAATGACCGATTAAAATTTGCTAGATTAACGCGATGAGATTCAAACACTGGACCCTTTAATATGCGAATACCGCGTATGTAATTGGTTAGGTTAGCGTAACTTTCCGGGTTAACGGGACGAAGCGGGATTTCGTTCGAAGGAAAGCGCGGTTTTCGCGCTGGAGAAAAGTTAACTGGACTCGAAGCGTATGCATCTTGAGACCGTTGCCTCGGTTGCAACCAAGCGAAGCTAGGCGAGGTGAGATAGAACGAACTGTAGCTAGGCGAGGCCAGATGAAGAGAGGTGAAGACAGTTGGGACAGGGCGGGGCGCGGCGCGGCGGTGAGGTGAGGTGAG